TATCTTGTTGGCTCAGTGTCTAGTCTAGATGACACTTCAAAATCTATCCACCTCTAAAATGCTGTAAATTTGTAAGATATTTGTATGAGCTATTCAAAACAAATGGTTACAATGTGGCCCAAGTCACAAGAAAGACAGGTGCTTCAAAAGCTGGGACTGCTCTTGTATTTATTAAGAGAGCACCATGGCGTGGAGCATTTTTTCATATGGGCCATCTGTATGTCTTCCTTGGAGAAGTGTCTATTCAGGTCCTTCACCCATTTTTTAATTGGATTGTTTGTCTTCCTGGTGTTAGTTGTATAAGTTCTTCATATATTTTGGAGATTAAACACTTGTCTGATGTATCATTGGCAAATATGTTCTCCCAACATCACTAGCCAACAGAGAGATACAAATTAAGACCTCACATCTGTCAGAATGGTGATCATTAATAACAAACAATATTAATAAATCAACAAATAATAAGTGCTGGTGAGGATGTAGAGAAAAGGGAACCCTAGTGCACTGTTGGTAGAAATGCAGACTGGTGTAGCCACTGTGGGAAAGAGTATGGAATTTCCTAAAAAAAAAATGCAAAATGGAACTGCTTTTTGACCCAGCAATTCCACTGCTTGGCATATACCCTAAGAATCCCAAATTACCAATTCAAAAGAACTTATGCACCCTATGGTCATAGCAGGGCTATTTATAACAGCCAAGTACTGGAAACAGCTTAAGTGCCCATCAGAGGAGGAGTGGATCAAAAAGCTGTGGTACATTTACACAGTGGAATACTCCACAGCAGAAAGAAAGAAGGAGCTCCTCTCTTTTACAACAGCATGGTCGGAACTGGAGACTATTATGCTAAGTGAAAGAAGCCAAAACAAACACCATATGACCTCACTTACAGGAGGAATTTAATGAACAAAATAAACTAATGCGCAAGATAGAATCAGAGACATGGAAACGTGGAACAGACTGACAGCTGCCAGAGGGAAGGGGGAGGGGAATAATGGTGGGAAGAAGGGAAAAGATCAGTCACAAAAACATGTATGAATGACCCACTGACATGGACAACGGTGTGGGAATTGCCCATGGGAAAGGGGGAGGGGTACAAAGAGGAGGGCAATGGGGGAAAATGGGAACAACTGTAACAGAATAACAACAACTTTTTTAAAATTTAAAAAAGAAAGCATCCATGCATAAGTGTGGTATCACTGATCTAATCGAATTCCGAACACAAGTGCCCGTGAACAGCTCACACTATGAAAATGTCTGCAAGGACTCTGAGCACCATGCCTCACAAGGCACATCATACTTGGATTCTCCATCAGTGTCTATACAGCTGGACTTAAAATACTCCACATTTATACAGATCGTTGTAGAGTCTACAGAGGGTTTTTATCCTCATCCTAATAACTGTCAACATTTAACGAGTGACCTTCACATGTTCCTAAACCTAAGGACCAATTATTTGGCATACTATTCCATTAATTAATTAATTAATTAATTAATTAATTATTTTTGGTTTCTCCTCTTCTAGAGTGTAAACGTTCTGAGGACAGGGAGTTCTTTGTTTGGCTTGCTGCTTTATTCCTGGCACTTAGAAGAAGTACACATTTTATTTTTACATATATTATGTGCTTGCTAGATGTTTATGTAATTAATTAATCAACAATATCTAACTCTCTTAACAGCTTTCTTAAAGTGGCACAGATAATAGGGTTTTGTGTGTAGGCAGTGTGATTTGTAAAGGCTGAATGTTTAGCCACTCTGCTAAGCTAAAACAAATCCATCATATCCATAGAATAAAGATACTGGGCCGTAAAATTCTCTTACCCGGCTTTGACTGAAACTTGCAGTAAAGTTGGGAGTAATGAGGCTGATGGACAGAGAATTAATCAAACCAGCCCCCTGACTGGCCTGCGACAGGTGGCCATTATACTTTCCTACAACTTGTTTTAGTTTAATATAATTTTGGTTCATCCTTTGTTTTTAACCACTTGGTAACATGCATTTGCTGAATTCTGGTTTTTACTTGATCCAAGAGATCTTTTTCCCCTTTTACGAGGCAAGATAAACACCACTTAAAAAATTTAGTGCTTTTGTCTTGCTTTATAGTTGCTGATTTTTATGTTTACTTATAATTTCCTTTGTTTCTCCCTCTTTTCTTTGTAGGGTTTTTTTTCAGGCTTTTAAATGATAGTTTAGAAGGCTGCTTTTATGTTTAAAAACTATATTTTTAAAAATTCTCAGTATCAAAATAGTAGTATTTATTCCATCCTGTCTAAAGTGAGAAAATTAGCAGATTCTTATTTACCCTCATAAAATCCTCTCTTTCTCAGTTTTTATTGACATAATAGTGAATTATAGACCTAGATCACAATTGTTAATATTTTACACTATATATCCTCTCTTTAAATAGTTTTTATATTAACCTCTTTTGTAACATATTTACAGCAAATATTTAGCATTAACGCCATGTATAATTAGTTTCTCTACTCACTATTGGTCATTTTATCCCATATTTCTCTATTCTTGATTTCTTCATTTTGATTCATTGCTCAGCCAATTGCTCTTTGAATGATTTATTAGAAGCAGGGCATGTGGGAGCCTGTGGATACTGAAAATGTCTTTCTGATGTATTTGCACAAGAACAACAACTTGGCTGATAAGGAGTTTGAGGGTTATAACATTTTCTCTTCAAAAATCCTCCAGGCTTAGCTGCATTGTCTGCTTGCTTTTCGGTGTGAAGAAATCTGAGAAGGGCCAAGCCAAGACGTCTCAGACTGAGAATAGCTTTTCTCCTCCTGCGACCCTTTCACCCAACCCTGTTCAGTAAAACTTAATACTAAATACAGTAATTTGAAGCAGGGTCTAGTCTGTCTCTGGCCAGAAACATACAACACTCTGAAAATACAATAGCTCCCACCGCTTTTCCTCTCTGTTCTTGTGAGGCCAACTATACCCTCAAGACAACTGGCCTAAGGACCCTTCCAGTTCCATTCCTGCTTGAGTTTTCATTACTGCAGATCTTAGATCCAAACGGGGAGGGCACAAGGCATGGGCCTGAAAGCAGAAGTAACTACTGCTTATGAGTGAGCAAGGCCTTGCCTTGCTCATCTTGGAAGTAACAGGAGACATTGTTTCCTCGATGAGGTAGCTTCAGAGTGCGTGGCTGTATTTGCCATGGAAAAACCCCATGCCTTGAGAATGGGATCTGTTGTGTGATGTTTGGGGAATAAAGCCCCCAGAAGTCCTTCTGCCTGATCAGTTCTTCTGCTCAGGGCCAACCATGCTCCTTCTGGACTCCATTTGCCATTTTTTTTTTTTTGGTTCTATAGACTTGGCATCTGGCTGGGTTTTTATGGGACTCTTTGTAGGAATGTAACAGAATGTGAACTGAGTACAGCTGTTACTCCTCTTCATAACATGCACATCCAACAGCATCTCTTGACGTGTTTCCAAGAGCAGGGAAAGCCATACCTTGCCAGAGTTGTGATGAACCAAGAACCTGGCTGGTATGGGATGCAGAGAATCAGGAACAAGAGAGGCCCCGAGATGCTTCTGCCCATCTTTATGTCTTCCTCCTCAACACGTCAGTGTTCGTGCAGAGGGAAGGCCAGATGGACAGGTGGAAGGCAGTCTGGCTGCTTCTCTTTGTAATTTTATGGTCTCTGTGAGGAGTGCTGCTTGAACCAGTAATAAATGCAGAGCCGAAATACCAGTGTGGAATTTAAATGGGTCTGTGGACATTTTAAATGTTAATGAGTTCCTCAAACCAGGTTTCTCACAAGGTAATGACTAGCACTGACAGACTAAACTCTCTGTTTTCCACCAGAGCCTGCGAGGACATTCTCCGCACACTTCGCCGAATCTTGCTTTTGTCTCAGCTTTTCCTTCTCCAGGGACCTCCTCACTTCCCAACTATGCTGTGGAGCATGGCACACTCTCCACTCCCTTGTGTTTCCATAAGACTGCATACAACTAATCTTAATGTGAGCTGTAGAGGCCTACCGTGCATCAGTTTTTCGTTATGTATTTGTTGAATGAAATATATTCACTTGCAGCATGCCCACAAAAACACAGAAGATGAGAAAGATAAACCTGTGTCATAAGAGGAACTAAAGATATTTAGCTTGCAGAAACTGAGACTAGATGGGTGTGTTTGTGAAGAGGGGAAGTGGATGGTAGAAAGATCTTCTGTAACAGAAAGAGTACCACCTGAGAAGGTGCTTGCATTGGTTCTACTGGTCCCTAAGAGTATAATCCAAGAGCAATGCATAGAAGCTACATAAAAGACATGTCCTAACCGACAAAATACTTGATACAAAAAAAGCTTACCTTGTCTCTGGGAGAAAAAATATTTTCTAATGTGACTAACGGTAATCATAAAAAATCTAGTATTTACTGATTAACTACAATATGCTTAGTATATTCATAGATATAAAATTAATAGGTATTTTATAGATGAGGAAATTAAAACTCAGGCCATGTGAAGTGCCCAAGTGAAACATCTTTTTTAAAATCTTCTAATGAAGAGATCTGCAGAATTTTTCTGTAAAGGTTCATATGGTAAATATTTTAGGCTTCATGGGGCATAATGTCTGTGGCAACTACTCAGCTGTACTATTGCAGCATCAAAACAGCCATAGACTATATAAACGAAAAGGTATTGCTGTAGTAAAAACAAAATAGCCCTGCCCAGGTAGGTCAGTTGGTTAGAGTGTTGGCTCAATACACCAAGGTTGTGGGTTCGATTCCTGGTCAGGGCACATACAGGAAGCAACCAAGGAATAAACAAACAAGTGGAACAACAAATCAATCTCAATCTCTCTCTCTCTCAAATCAATAAAAGAACAAAAATTAAACACCTTATTTGCCATAAAAAAGGTATGGGGCTAGATTTGGTCCATGGACATTATGTGTCAACCTCTGCTCTAAAGCTGCTCTACCTTCTCATTTGAGAAAGGGGGGAATACAAACAAGACAAGCAAAAGCCTCCATGTGGCCATACTTACGCCATTGGCTTTGCTGAGTGCTTGGAAGTAGATACTGTAGCTTTTCAGAGGGGAAAGTGGGGGGTTCCAGTAGCCATTGTATGTCTTGTTGTCACCCACTGTAAAGGGCTGAGTGACAGGCAGGTTGGCGGGCTTCAATTCAGCAGCAAAGTAGTGCAGAGAATCAAGGCTGGAGGCGTTCCTGTAGCTCACAGGCACCGAAAAGCACTCGATGATGTCAGCTGCTCTCCGTGACTTCTGAAGTCTCTCCTCCTTGACAACCAGCTGGTAAACACTGTACAGGATAGAGAAGAAGCAAATGAAGGCTACCTGGAGGGATGAACTTGTTAGTCATTATCATCACTCCGTCTACAGCTAAACCTCCCTCCTGGGCTTCAGACTTGTAAACCACTGCTTTGTAGAAATCTGCCTCCCAAAGCCAGTTCACGTTGGATGTGTCCTAAATGCAACTTGGTCCCAACCCTTGCAAACCTGCCTGCTCCTTCTACATTTCTTCCTTAGTGAGGGTAGTGCTGTCTATTGAGCAGCCAGATCTTGCACTTGGGGCTCATTCTCAATTCCTACTTCCTTGGATCTCACTGTGCACCTCTAATCAATCAGCCCTATTGCCTTGACATCATCAGTCTGCACCTGCTCTTCCACCTTTTCCTCCTCCCACTCATAATGTTGAGGATAGGCAATTCCCTACCTCTTACCTGGACACACCTGGTCTCTTCGCTTTTAATTTATTTGATCACCTAACCAGTCAATCCATTGATTTTCTTAATCATATAGAACTGACCCTCTTCAAACACTTTCATAGGCTCTTCACTATTTGAATGACAGAATCAAAATTTCCCATCCTGGCATTTGGGACACTTTGAGCCTGCCTTCCAGTCCACCGTTCAGAAGTCTGATTAAAGAGAAGAAAAGAAACACCACATGTAACTTGTGCAAGTTTCCTTGCCCTGATGCTTACACTTTAGGATGGGGTATGGGAAAAAAGAAAGAGAAAGTGGATACTGTTTTTGTTTATTGTGGTATCTTCATCTCATCATCATTGTCTTGAAAATACATTTATTTAAACTCTTTTCAGCTTGCTGGTAATCATAAAATCACATCTAAATGAGAATAACCCCCCAAAGTCCTACTCTAGTACAAAAGAAGTGGTTGCAATGAACTATTTAGGGATATTTGTAAATAACAAGACTTTTTTCTGTAATAAGAAAGTCCTGATAGTATGAGAGAATAACTTAAAATGCTCACCTCACAACATAGAGCATTTACTCACACATTTTCCCCTCCCGTGACACCTTCTCTATTCCTCCCAATAAGACAGGCCTTTATGACTATATTTTCTGCAGAACTTAATGTGAGGATCTTTTCTTGCAGGTCCCTGAAAGCTATCCTGCAGTCCCACCTCAATGCATAAGCTCAAGGAGAGTTTGTACTTTCTGTCACCTCCCTGGCTTTGGTGTCCTTGCTTGCAGATCACCTTCGATGTCCATTGCTCATCCTCTTTGCTACAGTGACCCCCATCCGTCTTTTCCCCAGCTTTTCAGGTCCAGGCTTACCAGCAACTTCCATCCTGTAGTTTCTGTGTCTTCTGAGGCAAGAACACTCTACGCTCGTCCCAAATCACAAGACCCTCCCGCTGTCCAACCCCTAGAGGGCAGTTGCCTCACACACCTTTGAGAGCAAAGCCTGCGGGAATTCCTCTGCAGGCTTCCTCTAGTCTTGAACTAGTGGTTTAGGTGATGACTCCTGCTTCTCTGAGAGAGGCCAGGGACCCATTAGAGCCATCCATCCACCAATAACATATCTTGTGTCCCCTTTCTATATTTAGCGAAGATGTCTCCAGCCAGAGGCTGTATGCATTCAGAACACTGACATCCAATGATGGATAGAGAATATACTGCAGCTCAAAGTTGAAGGCTCCCTGACTCCAGAAGGGCACATTTGGGCTCATGTTCTCCCAGAAATAGGCTTGTTTTAGTTCAAGTTCTTCCAGAAACAGAACCCTACACCAAGGTTTCAATGCCATTGATATGTCGTTAGGGAAGTGGACCCAGGAGAAACCAGTAATGGAATCTGGGAGAGAAGAAGGGAGGGAACCAAGCAAGAGTGCAACTTCTGGCAAAGTTCCAGCCTCAGCCCGATCCTCACGGGGAGCTCCAGAATATAACCTGTACCCAAGAGTTAATCTCATCTCAAGCCAAGCACTTTGGAGCCTCCCACATAATCAGTTATTGGTTGTGTGCCCCACTGCAGAGACATACAGTCCCAGGCACCCCCAGCTCAGTGTGTGGGGCAGATAAGGTGGCTGTGGCACTCTAACGGCAAACTTTGGAAGAAGGACACGATGGAGAGCCGTTTGCATCAAAGCACATAGAAGCTGGTGGATGGACACACCGCAGAAAAAGGGCGATGAGGGGACCTGGGTTGACCCCAACAGTGTCCCCTACAGGGCACTCATGAGACTGGCACAGGAGCAGAGATCCAGCTGGACAGGGTGCTTTTCAACCTTTGTTTGCAGCCCCGCTCAGATGAAGCACATGGTGACATCCCATCAGTCCCAGTGACTTTTCTACCACTGATTATGTTCCTTTATGATGCTATTTGTTTATCTGTAAATTTGTTTTACTGTTATAGCTGTATAGGGGCCAGACACAAGGAGTTAATAAATATACACAAATATAAAATATTTAAGTTATTTTGAAAAGAAAATAGTTTCAGTCCAGGAGGAGTCCCTCTGGGCAGCATCCACAACTTTTGGGCTCCCACTGGTCATCAAGAGATCTTAGCTTGCTGGCACCAGAAGGTGTTCGAGGCTTCCCTGTGCCCTCCTTACCAAGATTGCAATCAGGCATTTCTCCAAAGAAGAAATTTAGAAGGCACGATCTGGGTACCCAGTGAGCTCATTGCTCAGTGATTCTGTTGTTTCTATGTCCGTGTATTAGAGAGACTGGAGAAACACACACACACACACACACACACACACACACACACACACACACACTCTCTAATCCTCACCTGAGGACATGCTTATTGATTCTAGAAAAGGGAAGGGAGGGGGAAAGAGGGAGAGAAACACTGATGTGAGAGAGAAACACTGATGAGTTGTCTCTCGTACACTCCCTGACCAGGGACCAAACCGGCAGTCTAGGCATGTGCCCTCACCAGAGATCAAACAGGGTGGACATTCTGTATACAGGATGACGCTCCAACTAACTGAGCCACCCGGCCAGAGTTAAACTGTCTAGACATCAAACATTTATACTGATTATTCCAACTGATATCGCCAATTCAAATCCATAAACACAATAGTCTTCCTCACCTCCCCCATTCCTCATTGGTTTTTCCTTTTTCCTCCACTGAGAACCCTCATTTTCAACATCAACATTTTTACTCATAAACTCTCACACAATACACACAAAATCATCAGAATTAACTCATCAATGCCACAGCCCATCTAGTACTTATCAATGAAGTTCACGATTCCTGCCCTGCCCTGCTCCAGTTCCTTCCTAAACTATTCAGTCCTAAGCCATGAGACAGGGCAGCGCCAGGCAGGCATCTGTGTGGGGTGGGGGAAGCCAGGATGGCCCAGTGTGAGGAGCAGACACCCACCCAGTGTCCCCGGCACCAATTCAGGTGATCTGCAAGGTCAAAACTAGTTTCAAAATAACAGTGAGATATTGTTTGCCTTGTGCAAATTAGTGTCTCACAAGTGTACTGTGCAGTTCCTCTATAACCATAGGACTTCATAACCGTATGAGACTGAATTCTCTTCATTTACTTCAATCAAGCGACATAATGCAACAGTTTCAATGCAGAAGCAGATATGGTATTTAGCAGCCGTCTAGTGCGCCCAACGTTAGAGATTAGTAAAAATGTTAAACAATATTACACTTCTCACTAAATCACTTTTGTTTTAGAAAACAATTGTCTTCATAAACATTTTTTGTTTATGTTAACATGTAATGGGCTTACTACTATTAATTTAAAAGATGATTTTTATTTAAAGTCTTGTTAAATTAGTGATGAGTAAAATATTTCTCAGTTGCATTTTCTACTATGGCAAATTTATATATGACATTAGATATAACTCACATAAATTAAACTTAAGGTCTTTAAAAGTTTGTTTGTGCCCTTTGACTACCTACCAATTGACCAATCAGCTTTCTGTTTCTATGAGTCCATTTTCTATGAGTTGGGTTTTCCAGTATAATTGAGGTATACTTAACAAATAAAAATTATGCATATGTAAGATATACACTGTGAGGCTTTGACAGATGTACACATTGTACAAGTGATGACCGCAGCTGAGCTAATTAACACATTCATCACCTCACACAGTTACCACTGTGTATGGTGAGAACACAAGATCTATTCTCTTAGCAAATTTCAAGTATGAAATATAGTGTTACATAGCCCACCAGAACTTACTCATCCTGTGTAACTCCTGGACCAACGCCTGCCCATTTCCTTTACCCTCCGGCCTCTGACAAACACCACTCTGCTCTCTGCTCCTATGAATTTGACTATTTTAGATTCCACATATAAGTGAGATCATGCGATAGTCGTTTTTCTGTGTCTGACTTATTTCACTAATTATAATATCCTTCAGAGTCATCATCCATCCATGTTGTTACAAATGGCAGGATTTCCTTCTTTTCTAAGTCTTAATAATAATCTATTGTTTCTACATACTGCACTTTCAATTTCAGCAAGGTCATAGGACAGAAGATCAATGTATGAAATTCAATTATACTTTTATCATTAGCAAAGAGCAATCTGAAAATGAAATTAAGTAAGCAATTTCATTCACAATGGTATCAAAAAATACTTAGAAATAAATTTAAACAAAAGAATTAAAGGACATGTATGTTACAAAGTTCAAAACATTGCTGAAAAAAGTGGAAGAAGGTCTAAGTAAATGGAGACATGTTCTGTTTATGGTGTGGAACAGTCAATGTTATGAAGATGGAAATTTTCAACAAATTTATCTACATATTTAAGGCAATCTCTATCAGCATCCCAAGATACTTTTTCAAAAAACTAACAAGATGATACTAAAATGAATATGGAAATGCAAGGATCCGTAAGAGAAAAAAACAATTAAAAGTAATCACAAAGTTGGAAGGCTTACAGTTCCTAATATGATAATTCATGGAATTCAATACAGTTGATAGGTGTAGAATAGACTCATAGATCAATGAAAGAGAATCGAGAGTCTAGACATAAACCACTATATTTGTGATTGATTGATTCTTGACAAGATGCTAAGACAAT